CTCTCCCTACTGGAGAGCATTTAGATGTGACCATCATCATACAACTAGCTGTCAGAGGCTTTAGTATTTATTTTGTCTTTTTACAGAGTCTGTGAAGCAATCAGAGGAAATTAAGCATCTAGCCCCTCTTTAGTGCTGTTGCTTATTCCCCACTTAAAAATGAAATATAAGAAAATTAGATAGTAACTCACAGAAGAATAAAATACAGTTATTTCTCTTGTCCTGGAGTCAGTGGGATCAGGAAGGTGGAAGGGTAGGGATTTCAAAGAGTTAATAGACAAAATCATGAAAAGAAAGGTAAATGATGTTGACTGTAAAAGTGAAAAACCTGTATAAGTCAGATGTTATAAAAAAAATTAAAATACAAATGACAAACTAAGAAAAATGACAAGCAGTTGATAACCTTATAATATGAAGAGCTTTTAAAAAACAATAATCAAATGTTAAAATAGCCCAGTACTGAAATGAACAAAGTGTATGAACAGATAAATCACCAATGGATAAATTAAGTGATCAACAAATTTTGTATTGCTAATAAAAAAGGGAAAAGATTCCTTTTCTCTCCCATCAACTTGGCCAACATGGGGGTTTAAAAAAAAAAAAAAAAGAAAGAAAGTATCCTCTGACTCATCAAGGGTAAAGTGAAATAAGCATTCCTTTTTTTAAATTGAGATAGGATACATATATCATGAAATTCATCCTTTTCAAGTTCAGTGGATTTTAATATATTCACAAGGTTGTGCAACCATCAACACAGTCTAATTCTGGAACATTTTTTTATCATCACAAAAAGAAATGTCATACCCATTAACAGTCACTTCCATCACCCCTCCCCTGACAACCACTATTTTCTGTCTCTGTGGATTTGCCTGTGCTGAATATCTCATATAAATGGAATCATACAATATGTGGTGTTTTATGTCTGGCTCCTTTTACTTAGCATAATAGTTTCAAGGTCCATCCATGTTGAAGCATGTGTCAGTACTTTATTCCTTTTTATGGACAAATATTCTATTGCATGGATAATACTACACTTTATCTGTTGATGTACATTTGGGCTGTTTCCACTTTTTTGTCTATTATGAATAATGTGGCTATGCAAGTTTTGTGTTTATGCATGTGTTTTTAATTTTAATAACTGGAGTAGAATGCTGGGTTACATAGCAACTCAGTGTTTTAACTTCTCTAGGAACTGCCAGACTATTTTCCAAAGTGGCTATACCATTTTATAGTCCCACCAATATATGAGGATTTTAATTCCTCCACATCCTTGAAACACTTGTTACAGTTTACTTTTTTGATTATAACCATCATAATGGGTGTGAAGTGGTAACTCCTTATGGTTTTGATTTGCATTTTTCTAATGACTTACTATGTTAACCAGTCTTATGTGTTTATTATTATTTGTTTAGCTTCTTTGGAGGAATGTTTATCAAGTTCTTTGCCCATTTAAAAATTAGATTGTCTCTTTATAGTTGCATTATAAGTGCACTTTATATAGTCTGGATACTAGACCCTTGCACACAGTTTCTCTCATTCTGTGGGTTGTCTTTTTACTATCTTAATAATACCCTTTTATGCACAAAAGTTGTTAATTTTGATGAAGCTCAATTTATTTTCTCTTTTGTTGCCTGTGCCTTTGATGTCATATATAAAAATCCTTTGCCAAATCCAAGGTCATATAGATTTACTTTTATGTTCTCTTCTAAGAATTTTATGGTTTTAGCTCTTATATTTAGATTACTAACTTATTTTGATTGATTGATGTAGGAAGGGGTCCAACTTAGCTTTTTTTTTTCCCCCTCAGCATGTGGAAATGCATTGTCTGAACACCATTTATCAGATTATTCTTTCCCCATTGAATGGACTTGGACACTCTTGTCAAAAATCAACTGGCCATAGAATGGGTTTGCAGACTCTCAGTTCTATTCTGTTGGTCTAGATGTCTATCCTTATGTCAGTACCACACTGTTTTGATTACTGGAACTTTTAGTACGTTTTGAAATCAGAAGTGTAAGTCCTTTGATTTTGTTCTTTTTCAAGATTGTTTTGATTATCCTGGACTCCTGTAAATTCCATATGAATTTGAGGATCAGCTTTTCCATTTCTGCAAAAAAGCCTGTAAGAATTTGTTAGGAATTATGCCAGATCTGTAGATAACTTTGGGTACCTTAAAATTAAGTCATCCTATCGGTAATGAAGAGATGCCTTTCCATTTGTTGGTTTTCTTCCAGCAATGATTTGTAGTTTTCAGCGTACAAGTCTTTCACCTCCTTGGTTAAATGTATTCCTAAATTTTATTCGTATGACGCTATTGTAAACGGGACTGTTGTTGTAATTGTCAGATTGTTCATTGCTAGTATATCTTATACCCTGAAATTGCTGAATTTGCTTTTTAGTATGTGTGTGTGTGTGCGTGTGTGTGTTATACACACACACATATATATAAACACACACATACAAACACATATGCATAATATAAAATATATATAATAATATATAACAATTATGTCATCTGTTAATAAATGGTTTTACTTTTTCCCTTCCAATATGGATGCTTATTTTATTTTATTTTTTAATTTATTTTATTTTTTTCTTGCCTAATTGATCAGGCTACAATTTCCAGTATAATGTTGAGTAGCTGCAGTGAAAATAGTATCCTTGTCTTGTTCCTGATCTTCAGGGGAAAACTTTTAGGACTCTACCATTGAATATGATGTTGACTGAGTTTTTCATAATTGTACTTTATCAGATTGAGAAATTTCATTTCTGTTCCTAGTTTTCTGAGTGGTTTTCTTTTTTTTTTTTTTTTAAGTCATGAGAAGGTGTTGGATTTTGTAAAATGCTTTTTGTTTTTACTTATTTTTATTTTTTTAAGTAGGCTTCACACCCAGCGTGTGGAGCCCAACACAGGGCTTGAACTCATGACCCTGAGATCAAGACCTGAGCTAAGAACAAGAGTCAGATGCTTAACCAACTGAGCTACCCAGGCGCCCCAGGTGTCCCTGTAAAACACTTTCTCAATGTCAGTTGTGGTCATGTGGTTTTTCCCCTTATTCTATTCATGTGTGGTGTGTATATTGATTTTGTACTGTTGAACTACTTCCTGAGAGAAATCCCACTTGGTCATGGTGTATAATCCTTGTATAGGCTGTTGGATTCGGTGCTATTTTTGTTGAGGAGTTTTGCATCTACCAACTACCCAAACTATTGAAGGCTACTGAAGTAAGTCCTTGTGGCTTTAGATCTAATGGTTCTCCATAGGCCTTATACAGTTGACACTGCTGGCCATCCATTCCTTTGATATTTGTTACTGTTGAGTCCTTTCTCCCTAAAATACTCTTTCTTGGTTTCTGAGGCAGTACTCCCTCCTGGGTTTTCTCTCATTTCTATATACTTCTCCATCCCATTGGAGGTTTTTCTTCTGATCATCCTTTAAGTATTAGTATTTTTTAAGAATCCTTCAGAAGATCTGAGTGACCTCATCCATACCCAAACTTCAATGATCCTGTTTATATCAGCAACTCCCAAGCTAATTAGGACTTATCTGAAGAGTCAAGATAAGGGCACTCCTCTGAGCTACTTTTGGAGCCACCTCCTGAACAACTCCTCTGGAATGTTCCACAGTTCAGTACCGCCAGAACTCACAGGTCTTTCATGTTTGGGCCTCTGCTTACCTTTGTAGAGACTAACAAAGCTGTTCAAAGACATTTCAATCTTAAGGGAAGAGGTATGACTCAGTTCATTTCCCTGGAATCCCATAATCCAGTTATGCTGATTTCTAGCTCTTTTGCTCCAGGACATTCTTTAGCTTTTTCCTTGTGTCTTTGTTGCCCCATTTGTAAAGTGGGGATGATAATACTTGGTTTGAGGATTAATGATTATGTAAAGATATTGACCCGTATTAAGTTCCAAATAAACTGCAGCTATTTAGTAATAGACAGACTTGAGGGGATAATGTACAAGGTAATAGAAAATAGTACTAAATTGTCTTGTTTCTGCTGACACTGATCTATGCTTTTATCTGGTTTTATGCTGGGAGGGGACTTGAGCAGCAGATACCAGATGACGAACACTGGAGCCTTGCTCTAATAATCTTACTGGGTCCAATCTCAGGATTTATTGCTATAACAAGATCTTTTTATTGTGTTCATAATGAAGCCAGTTTTGGTTATTACACTTGTATGTGTGTTTTTATACTCAGCGCTTGCCTTAAGGTGAGCATCCACTGATTTTCATTTAAATATTTGTGGTTTTTTTTCCTTTCGTTGTTTTTAACGTTTATTTTTGAGAGAGAGACTTTGAGCGGGCGCACACACAAGCTCAAGCAGGGGAGGGGGAGAGAAAGAGGATCCAAAGTGGGCTCTGAAATCTTTCAATTAAGATCAAAGGAATTTACGTTTGCATAAGCATTGTAATGGGAAATTTATTGTTTTTAAGGCTCCCTTTAAAAACTTGGTACCTATTTTATATCACTTCTTTGCTAAATTCATTTTTAAATGATTTAATCACTTGGATTTTATTTCACTTTCGCATTATCTTTTTCTCCTAGTCCTTTAACGTAAGAAAATGGTACTCTGACGTTGGGTGCAATTAATTATTGTATTCAATGTTTAGTAACTTCATTCGTAAATTGTAAATGGGAGAAGGGTACACATATTTTCTAAGTTGTAGCTCGCCACGTATGCTTTGACATAGGGAATGACTTTGGACAGCGGTTCCGCCTCGAACCCGTCGGCGTTTAACGAGTTAACTACGGGGCGGCTTCCACGCACGGCCGGGAGGACCTGGCCAGGCGGTCAGCCCCGGAGCAGACCTGCCCCTGGAAGTGCCGGGAACCGCGCCTCCACGCCCGCGGGGGCAGTGCCCGCCGGGCCTTTCCCGCGACCCGCCCCCTCGGGCGCTGCGCCGTGCGTCTGCGCAGACACCCCCGCGGCAGCCGCGGTAGGTAGTTTCTCCTGATGATGCAAACACTCACTTCCCGCATCAACTTCCCACAGAGGGCGCGGAGCCGGCGGGAGCCAGGAGCGCCGCGGAGCCGTGCGCCATGGGCAACATCCAGAAGAAGCTGACCGGCAAGAGCGAGGGTGGCAAGCGGTCGGAGAGGGGCGCGCCGCGGCGGGGTCGGTCGCCAGGGGCCGGCGCGGACAAGCGAGGCCGACCGCGTGCTTCGGCGGCGGCGGCGGAGGGCGGCGCCAGCCGGCACCCTGGTGGCGGGCGGGGCGCGGGAGACCCCACCGCCGCGCCCCCGTCCCCCGCCGCCCCTCTCGGCCCCGCTGGCCTGAAGAGCCAGGGCAACGAGCTGTTCAGAAGCGGGCAGTTCCCCGAGGCGATCCTCAAGTACTCGGCGGCGATCGCGCAGCTGGAGCCTGCAGGTAGGCGAGCAGCGCCCGCGCCTCCCCTAGGGCTGCGGCTCACGGGACCTGCCGGGCCGCCGCCCGGTGACAGGCGCTCGCGTGCGTGCGTTCCTTCATGCGGAACAGACCCAGGGCGGGGTGGCACCGACCTGGGCGGGCAGCACCGTGGAATGCGTAGTGTGTGCGCGGGCAGGCCACTGCGGGCACGGGCCGCTCCCGGGGCGCCGCATTATGGGCGGCCTGCAGGACTGCAGTGTCCCTGGAGACCTCAGTCGTCTTGTGCTGAACTGTGACTGCGCTAATGGATTTTAACCGTGTTTAATTAAATGTGATTTTAGGAAGTGGAAGCGCAGATGATCTAAGTATTTTATATTCAAATAGAGCAGCGTGTTACCTAAAAGAAGGAAACTGCAGCGGCTGCATTCAAGATTGTACCAGGTAAACTGCCCATTTTCAGGTTTCTCAAGAGAGTTTTACCATTCCAGTGTGATGAATGCAGTATTTAATTGCTTACTAAATTTTTGCATGAGTCTGATTTCTTAGGACACTTTTTTAAGACATGTTAATTGAATTATACATGGAAGTCATAAATTCTTCTCTTTCATAAACTTCTAACTGAAGACAGTTAACAGAAGACTGCAAACTTTTTTCATTTCTATAGCCACCACCTTAATTCACGCTCTTTTCATATCCTAGACTACTGGACAAGCCTTCCATCTAACCTCTTTGCTGCCTGCAATCCACTGTAGTGTCAGAACAACTTTTCCTGAAGCATTATTTTGTGTTTCAAATAGGCATTCAGTGGCTCAGTATGGTGTTCCAGATAATTATAGGCTCCGTTTTTACCACGTTGCCCCCTGAACAAGCTTTCTGCTCTCATTTGGTCCACTGTCTGTAATGCCCTCTGCACATCTTTGCTTCTGAAATCCCTGCTCAACTAACCTCTCCCTCTTCTTTGCCTTCCTGGTCACTTGAATGGCTATAACCCTTGCACTGTCACTCTCACACCTGTGGGTACTTGTGTCATCCACTACACTGAATATTGAGCTCTGTGAGGACCAGAACCATATTTTACATACAGCTTTGCATCCTTCAAGCACTGTGGTCACCCATGTTACTCAACAAGTTACATACTGAAATTGGTGAATATATTTACATGAATAAAAAGTACTGTTTTCTTCCGCTATCAAGGAATAAACCTGCTTCAGGAGCCCTTTGGAAAGAAGCTACTATTAAGTATCTAGCAAATAAATTGTATGTCCTGGTTTGATGTTCACAGTCCTGGTTTACTTTTGTGTGGTAAAATTATTACTGTCACCCTTTTTCACTCTCAAAAGTCCTAGTTTGAACAATAATTTATGTGGATAACCTTCCAAGAAGATGAACAGTTTAGGGGCGCCTGGGTGGCTCAGTCAGTTAGGCGGCCGACTTCG